TTTTCAAAAACATTACGTCATCCATGTGTCTGTCCTCTTAGTGATCATAGCTCTCAGCCAATCAGAATGTGTTATTTACGTGAGTTGTTGTAAAAAAATATATAACTCATTTAGTGTTATCGTGTTATTGGTATGAACCTCTTATTAACAAAGTTATTTTTATTAAATTGGTGGTGGCCTGGAGAGCCATTATTTCTAGAGGAAAAGTGACACCTCTGTTTTGAAATTTTTCTCTTTTCTGATTGGCTAACATATTTCTCAAACTACCGAACAACAAGGAAGCATAACACAAATTATATTTTCAAGATGCTTACTTTGAGCCATATTGTTTTCGAAATCGTCTTGCTGGGGGGAATGAGTGTTTGAGAGGTGGGTGAGTCATTTTTGAACGGCTTTGTTAAAATTAATAAACTTCATTCAATTTGCATATGATTCATTCGCTAGTGCGGTTTTCGTATGACTGTGAAAAGTTCACGGCACGAACACGGTCGTGACACAGCAAGGAATACGCCTTTGTTTTCCTCTGTGATGTCAGACCATGTGTTATAGATGTCTCTGCCCTTTTGACCAGCCCATTTTAGTAGTTAAAAACTCAATAGAAATCATGACCATGAAGGAGGTTTTATATCTGATATAGATTCGTCTTCATTTGCATGAACGTTAACTTGGATTTTCTCTATCAAATTTGGTTCATTTCGGAATTCGGTACAATATGAGAACATACATCATGAGTTTTTAAGCCGTTTATTATACCCGCAGATCTTGTCTTAGTATCGGGTCTAAAACCACTCGACTGTGATGAGTTTAAATGTTGTTAAATAAAATTTAAGCAAAGTTAAACTAGAACTTAGTAGCCATTATCGCTATCTGTCATACAAGTATGTAATAAGCAAACAATTGCTACTTGCTCGCAGCTTCAACGCTATCCAATTTCGCAAACGCTAGCTCGACGCATTTGGTTGGCAAAACGTATGACGTGAGTGAACAGTTGATGCGCGTTACGAGACTCGCATGTTAACGCTATCCAATTCGCTAACGCTAGCTCTTCGCATGTGATTTGCTACGAGCGCTTTTTTAATCTCTCGCCCTCCCTCCTCTCAGGTAAGTATAGGTAAGTATTCCACTGACTTTGTCAGTGTGACGGTGCGAGGTAGGTTCGAACAGGGTTGCTAGGTAATCGCTGAGGACACCGCCAAGCTCATCTACTGTGATGTTCCTAATACCCGATTAACAAGTACATAACTGCATTTTTCTGGCTCGCTTCTTGATTTTAGTGGACCAGTGAACATGAGTTCGACGTGTTGTTTGAAACGGCGCCACTCCTTTCGAAGATTCTCGGCTCCGTCCTATCGCATCGCTGGGGCTTCAACTCCACTTAAAGCCATCTTGAAGGATTCTTTCAGACTTCTGACATCATGTTATAGATTATGAGGCATAGATATTGGGTTCTAACTTATTTTAATTCAGTTCAACTCCAACAACTAAGTATCTCACAGATTGTACATACAATATCTTTTCTAATCTTAATTGTACTAGATTCAATGACGAATCAAGACAAACTATTCATGCTCATTCCTTAACACAAAAGGTGTTAGTGACCAGTACTTCGTAAAAAGTTAAGCATTCGACGAAATATTTGTGATATGGTTTGAATAGAAATTTTGTTTTCTAATTGAGGAGAACCAAAATCCTCGAAAATTTCCATTCGTGTGTTCGGAAACCTATGACGCACCTGGGTAACCCGTACACCACGATGCTACCCTAAAATCAGCCAGCTTCGCATCAACTAGCTTTATCATTATTTCTTAGCTTTATTTCACAGGACCAGGCACGGATTCTACAAGTATTATGGTCTGTTGCTTTCTAGCGATGTTCAAACGTCACTCTTCTGCGTTTATTTTCAACTCAAGGCCATATAGAATTCATAAAATTCAGAATATGTAAATGAAACAAACTCTAGGTTTTTACACTCACCTTGTTTTAGCTGCAAAAGGCAACACAGAAATGCAGCGAACAAGATCAAATTTAGTGTTGTTAAAGTAGTCATTTCCTGGTCCGTGCACAGTAAGAGAGCTACGATCGTTTACTTTTGAGACATCATCATTTAGAACCTCAGAGCTCTTTGATATGCCTCTTTGTAAAGCACCTCTTTTATTAAGTTAGGTTTAGGGTAAGATGTTTGGAACACCAATCTATTGTCATTATGATGTTTTATTATATTAAGTATTATTTCTGTTTTATTATCACTTACGGATCCTGCAATCTGATTA